TCCCCATCGGGCTCCGTTTACGGAACCCGTCATCGGGCTTGTAGCTTTTAGTAAATACACTGACTAACCTGCAAAGAGATCTGGCTGCAAACTCCCCGCCCGGGATCCAGCTTCGGATTCCCTACCGGGATTCGGCTTGGGACTGGTACACTTTCCTAAAAAAAAACATAATTACATTACATTAAATTAATAAATTCACATTTACTTACCAGAAAAACATTGCATCGCCACCAAAACTCGCGACGGACACATTATCGGCACTTTCCCGGGCTAATTCGTAAACAAATCAAACTTTTCCCACTGCGAAAAAAAACTGTACACGGCCAATGAGATCAACGCAAATTTGAGTACAGTGTACTCAATATCGAAAAAAGTGCAGGATGAGTAAATTTGCCGCATGTTTTCCTGTAGAAAACCTCAAAAATCTGCCCTAAAATAAGGAAAATTTACGAGAATCCAGAGAATCCAATCTTTGCTTTTCTCATATTCGGAACATGAGGGAAATTAATTCAAAACTGAGTTCCTGCACTTTTTGCGATTTATGAGTGAACTAACCTCAAATTTGGGTCATTCTCATTCGCCGTGTAGTGCTGACTCAGGACAAAACAAACTTTGCATGCGGCGAGAGACCGAGGGACAACATTTTACATCGTGATGAACTTTGATTCTAATGTAACGTTAGGTTCTGTTGTCATTGGATGTGTTCTGATGTTTTATGCGTGCAACAAATTACATCGTGATGATGTTTGATTCTAATGTAACGTTAGGTTCTGTTGTCATTGGATGTATTCTGATGTCAAATTTTACATCGTCAAGACGTTTGATTCTGATGTAACGTTTGAGGCTAATGTATTTTTATGTACTTGGACGTCACACTGAAGTCTGAATACATTAAGGTTACAGCAATACACGTTAAAATTTAATGTATTGAAGATGTCTGCTGATGTTTCCTACATTACAATTTTTATTCGGGCTATTCTCCACGTGAGCTAATTTTTTTACTGCCCTATTATTCTCGCAAGGCATACCAATGCTGCCTGTTGAGCAGTTGAAGAAGCATGTCTCAAGTCACAAGATCGTTGTCTTCATAATTATTTATTAGCTAGTTATTCTGACGTTCAATCAAAATGTAGTTTGTCTTGAGCAAAATTGAAGCTGGAAAAATTTCACATAACTACGTGCAGCAAACTTTGCCGTATATAATTATGACAAAGGCTAGGTCGATGAGTAAAAAAAGATAACTTTTACCCTTAGTAATTCCAGAGAACTTTGATATTTGGGCGTAATTGCTTTTGTAAACAAACACGTCAATCGCCGATTTCTCGCGAATAAAAGACAAATTTCGTGAACAAACTATACCATATGATAGAGGAACCATTCCTCTACCATACGCGACAAATCGGCAAATGACGTGTTTGTTTACAAAAGCAATTACACCCTAATCTCGAATTTCTCCAAAATTCCCAAATAAACTTCAAATGGCCAGAGTGCAGTATGAGTCCTCAACCAAATGAGCTCAAATTTTGGAAGAATGACCAGGACCCGATTTGAAATCGATTGAGTGGGGTGGAGCAGAATATGATATGTTGAACCACCCTAATATTCAGCTTGGGTTCCCTACCATAACATATTGACGCCACCGGCCGATATTCCATTGATTGTTGTTATAAGCTATATGTGCCCGTCATGACGACGATGATGGCGACGACGACGACGACGACGATTTGCCTCAATTTTCATGCCGTTCAATCAATCAACATCCGCTCGCTCGCTCGTTCGCTCATCCCACGCATTCATTCTGCACACGCAGCATTAAATGGCAATAAGGAATGAGGGAGCAGAAAGCAGCCGTTCGTGAAAAAAAATAACAGTTTGTGAATGTATGATATATTCGAATCGCCTTGTTAGCGATCGTTGATAGATGGCACTGGCTATTTGTAGCAAAAATTGTGATTATCGAATACAAACGAGCAAAAGTGGATGTTTTTGATGAGATTTAATTCAGGAACTATTGCTTGTTGGTTTGACGTATTACCGTAAAAAAAAAAACAACCATAGAGGTACAATTAAACATATTTTAATAACATTAGGCTAATTTGACTTGTATGATATACAATCTTGACAATAGATTTTGTTGTAATTCTATTTTATTTTAAGGTAATTGTATGGTTAATTTTTTCAGGTTATGATGATGATGATGATGATGATGATGATGATGATGATGTTCCTACATTTTACCCCTACAAAGATTTGAGATAACGAATTTATCTTTAAGATAATTAAGTATGACATTTTAACCAGGTTAGCAAACAAAAAAAACAGATATTAATTCCCTCTAGGGCGTCCACCTCTTAATATTCATAAATATTACAAGCGATCAAGAGTTAATGAACAATCAACAAAGCATCCTAATACGCTAGCAACCCCGCAATTTGATGCTATCATAATTTTCAGCAATGTCAGGAATGCTCAAGAGCCCCGACTTTCAGCCAGAAAACTTAAAACTAATTCAAAGCATATTCCAAATAAGCTTCAATGTTAATTTTTTTTTAACGGCGCCGGTGGTGTAGTAATCCAATAGAAGTTATTGTTTTGTCGGACATTGAAAGTGCCTTCCCCAAAGAACGTTCTCGCTCGAAGTTTCGATTTGGTGGCCGAGGCCGTTGCTTATTAGGTTCAGTGGAGTCCTTTTCCGAGAAAATTGGGAGCAACGAACCAAGAGTCACGACAGTTAGAATCTGGGATAGGATTCCACTGCTTGTTGTTTTATTTCTTCAAAACATTACATGGGAACTGTCAAATTAACCGGGATGTCAAACATACCATTATACAAAAAAAAAATCATTCTGATGACACTCTTGGCACTTCCGGCACAGCTGCGGCGTACGTAAAAGCACACTGAGAAAAAATTGGCGAAAAATAAGTGTGTAGAGTGACCACCCCTTGAGTTTCATCTGAACACCCAACTAATCATATCGTATCTCAGTGACATTGACTCACTCTGAACCTATATTTAAAGTTATTTTGTGATTATATGGTTACTTTGGTACTCACATGAAATTTTGTGCAAGTACCACAAGTTCAACAACGCCCAACTATGGACAGCTCAATGCTATTGAATCAGCGAACACCAACATGATTATCTGCTAGGAAACAGCAAAGAGCCCCCACCACGCACTTTTCCTATACAATATACATGGTGGTTAATACATTCTCAGACTACCCCCACCCCCTCTTGCGTTACGTAATGTTTGAATGAGCCCTAACTGCAATCAATTTCTCATGGTGGTAAGCTCCAACCGGTATTAGCCTCGGAATAAATCCCGATCAAGAATGTCGGGCGGGTTGATGTCGACATCAGACTCGAAATGTGCCACGATCAAATTGGCACAACGACGCCCTAAACGCTCTCTGACCAAAACGTAGGAATTCTTATGGATAACTCATTTATGATAAAAATGCACGTGGGACTGTTATGCTTTTATGGGCAACAAAAAATTCAAGAGCAAACCAAACCATGAAATACGTCGAAAGTAACAAAGGTAAACAAAGTCAAGCAAACAGTGTCAATCGATGCTCCTGCTATTACACTATATACTGTCCGAATGTAGGATCACATCCAATTTTTAAATTTATTTACCAGTCAAACTGCTTTTTGAAGTAATCACCATCCGATCTAAATATTTTCAATGTTACTTAAGTCACCCGATTTCTATGGGGATACCGTTTGTCTTAAGTAACAGCGCAGAGAAACCCGTGAAAAGTATACTTCCGTCGTTCGCTTTCTCATTATAAAAGTGAATAAATCGAACTATTTGTTGCCAAGATGATTTCGGTGGTCCTAAAATGATGAATGGGCTGGACTGAACGTAAGGAGAAGGTTGTTGATAATTCTCCCAAATATCCTGGTAAATACAGCCAAGTAACCAACAAGCCCGCTAATTCGCCTTTTTGCAATATAAGGCCAATATGCGGCTAGTATAAAACTTAGCATGCCCTATGTAAGCCATGTATGAGCCTTATATTGCAAAAAGGCGAATTAGCGGGCTTGTTGGTTACTTGGGCACTTTGACTTAAGTACGTGTCAAATTTACGTCAACGCAACGCAAACGGATCTAATGTGGGTGGCCTTTAGGGGGCTACCAAACGAGCATGAAAGCTAGCAGCAGATCGCTGATTGTATGATTAAAACCCTGTTAAATTTGTTAAACATTGGTATCACTATGAGATTATATGCGTTTAATTGGAAATAGGAATACCTTTTCGGTCATCAAAACAAAACTTTATTTTTCTCGGATCAATGCGAATGTTACTTACGACATAATGAAAATTTACTGTTGAATTGGTTGGACGATTCTACATGTGGAGAGGAATGTTTAAAGCTAAAAGGAAGAGGAGACAATAGGGGGACTTTTATGAATCAATTTTCTGTCAAACGCAAACTATTAATGGTCGGGCGAACGTATAGAACGCGAGAATTTTTACAGCAGGGAAATTATTTTTTTGTATTTTGACAGTCGACTGCGTCGCCCATAATGAAATAGTGTTTTCACGGTCGTTTCCACGAGAGAAGAAGAACACGTCACAGACAAAAAGTAGCCAGTTGTCTCCTCTTCTTCTTAGGTTTAAAGTATCCCATAAAAGGTCTTCGTAATTAATGAACAGTCCCCAACGTGAGTTGTGAACAGCTCAAAAATGTTCTTTTTCACCTTTGGCTCTGTAAATTTCTGAAAATTCATATAAAATGGAACTGTTGCTGATTACACATCATGCAAGTTTTATAAAAACACCCATTTTGTTTGGCAAAAAAAGCTCCTACATAAATATAAGCAGTCTCAAACATAAATCTAAGCCAGCAAAAACAATCACAGCGTACTGGAAAACCGGTCCCATCCGGTTCTTGTCTCAAGTGAACCAAACAAATTTACAAGTCGTTCTTGCAAATGTCTGGGTTCGTTGAACTTTCGAAAAGAAAAACCATCGCAAGTTTACTGCCTAACTCGAACAAAAAATCTCGTCCAGTTTTATTGAAATGCATAAATTTGATTCAACAAGCCGCGCCAATTTATCGCCGCCGTAAGTTTGCTCCGGCCGGGGCCGTTTGGGGCTTGCAGCAATGGGTACAGTGGGGATTGGTACAGTTCTCCTTAGCCAGGGACGACGACGACGATTGTGACATGAGAAGCCTTTGTTGATGGGGCGGAAATTGATTCAGAGCTTGCGGTTGCTGAGGTAGCGATCCGGCCGGAACCGTGCAGGCGGCGTCTATGCAAATTTTTAACGGGAAAGGAAGAAAAGCGGACGTGATCAGAGAAGCATTAGCAGCTTTGCGAGGAGGGGAGGTAGAGGTGGAACATACCCATGAAATATTGGATGCCACCCGGAAGTGGACCTGTGCCCGGTTGTTGCAGCGTCGCCGGCTGGAAGGCTGGTGTCGTTGGCAGCATTTGCGCTTGATGAGGTCGTTGAGCTTGATGGCTTTGCAGCATGGTAGGCATGTTTGGCGCTAGTCCGGAATTATTCATATGACCTGAAGCCGAGTAGGTTTGTGCCCGCTGGTGAGGGAACTGCTGCTGGTAGTACTGTTGCGGCGTGTAATACACGTCCTGCATGGTGGACGGAACGTTGCAGTTGGGGTTCTGTTGGTTATTTCCTGAATGGGAAATATGGAAAGCATTATTTTAATTAATTCAAATCAGAAATTAAAAGAACATTCTTACCGGACGAAGGATTCATGGTTTGAAAATTTGATGAATGGTGGAATTAGGAATTTTGCAGCGTTATTCAGTAACAGTTTCCGGCAGAATGAAAAATCTTGACGGTCGAATATAATGGCTTGCTATGATTCAGAATACAGTATCCCCCCGCTAATCCGACACTCGATAATCCGACGACTCGATAATACGGACCCCGTTAATCCACACAATCAAGCGTAACTCGAGGCGTAACTATTTAAATCGACGTATCTGATTTTGTAAACAATCACTTCAATCGACGATTTGTGGCAACTGCTAGCTCACTCACAGAAACTAACAACACCAGCTAGTAGGGGAAAGATTGGTGCTTGTTTGCGTGAGAGAGTTAGCAGTTAAGAAATGTCGGATTAAAGCGAGGGGGGCGACTCTATCTAAGACGCAGGAATTGTTTTGCTTTGCTGTTGTGAGATGCACTCGCGCTTAATAGATAGAAACACGATTGATTGTGATTTTGAAGATTTCCTGCAAAAAGGTGGAGAACGAAGCGAGTAGATGGGTTTAGATGCAAGGGATGAAAAAAGATTTTTCGTAGATTGATTCGCTAGTGTGAGATTTTTCGACCATTTACAATCGAGATTTAGATGTGTCGCACCCTTCGGATTAAAGGTATAAACACGTGTTTGAATACATTGTGCTGTCAATTTTCAGATTTGTGTTGTAGGCATGCTGTCCGTATGTTTTGATTTTTTAGTATGGATTTGACAGTCGGATTAGAATTGTCAAAGCTAGAGCCAATCGAGCAACGCCTATCTTGATTGCATTCTTCGATGCAATCGGTGTGCATATTTACATTATTTGACAATTCTCAGGTAATCATGATAGCAGTAGGGTACTTCGTCGTAATCGCCCATTTCCGTTCTATCGATCAGAAAAGATCAATAATATCAATGATGTTACCGTGCACAAATCAATTATAGGTTTGTTCCGATGCGTTAGTTCATTAGCTACAACATAAATCCTATTGGAGCGCATTGTATGAATATTTACGCTCATTATTCTCAAAACAAAAGAAGCACTCCTAGCGAATCCCCTTTTTCTACGTTTATCCGTAGGACGAAGAAAATCTAATGGCGTTACAATGCGTTAGGACAGAATTGAAACTCGTGGAACGAATTTAGAACCAAGAAGCAGTATTAGATTTTAAATAATATCTCAACAATTTGTGACTCTTTATCAAATCCAACGGTGCGTATGGAAAGGTGAATAAATTTAGAAGTCATCTTTGGCAGAAATATTCCACTTTTTGTTTAAACTCGTTCAGAAAAAAGAGGTAAAGTGCGGGTTCTGCTTAGTAGGACGGAAATTAGATCAAAAACCCTAGGTCTCATTTCTTCATTCAAATTGTTTTCAATAATCGGAGTGCAGTTTCGAATTCCTTTGGATACGGTTGTGTTTTAAGTTTTTCTCTGTTTTGTGCGTGCGTTCGCATTCATAGTTTTCGGCTGCATTTGCCGGATTAGCGCTGGCACTCTGCCTGTGGTTTTCTCGCTTTCCGAGAAGTTTTAGAATCGAGAAAGAAAACGTGATTCATCATGTTTGCAAAATTGCAAGCATCAGAAGATTTGGCGCTATCTGCGTGATTTGATTTTTTTCTGCCGGACCAGAAAGTTGTGGCATGGCGAGTGAAAATTTTAATTTCAGTTTATGTACGCGGTGATGAGAACGACGCTGATCTATTGTCAATTGATCAAGTCAGTTGAATTCAATTGACTTGAACACGAATTGAACGTGTAAACCATGCCATTCAACTGACTTGATCAACTGACTTGATCAACTCACTTGAATTGAAAAAAGTTGAACCAGGCTCAACTTTTCAAGCCAATTGAATTCAACTGAGTTGATCATTTGACTTGCCTAATCTAAACCCAGCTTTAGGGTTTTGCGATGTGCATTGCTTTTGTACACGGAGTGACTTGAAAAAGAAAAGCGAAGAAAAGTGATATTTGGTTGTTGTGTGGTTGGAGTCGCTGGAGGAGGAATTGTTTAGGGATGACTAGAGAAAAATATGCGTGGAAGCATCGGGAATGCGCTCCCGGGTGTAGTGATTTGGTGAGTACGTTCCAGTTGAAGATTGTTGAAAAGTGTATTTGTGGTGATGCAAATTATGGTTTAGATGACGCATGGCTTCAAACATTTTGAGTATCCAAATAAAACATAGGGGAAATGACGGCTTCGGCATGACAGACTATTTTCGGCAACCCAAATTAAAACACTATTTTCACTGGATTTTCTTACGAAAACACTTCGCTGAATGCATGCAAACGATTCTTTATGCTTTCAGCTTCAATTTGACTATATTTTTACCACTGAGAAAAATCAATCTAGCAAGGTTTTCTTGAAATGCAACACACGCACTACAAATTGTAGCTGATTTCGAGTTGCCGATAATAGAACAGCAGATTTACATGCAGTTCAAATGGAACGGTTGCCGAAGAAAAACTGGTTGCCGACAATACTCGCTCTCACTAGAGAAGATAGGAGCTTTGTAAAAGCGTTTCAAGACAGTTTTTGACAATTCTTTCGACTGAAATTGTTAGAGCAGCTGGCAGCAGAAGATTGTAAACAAACAAATACTGCATATGTGTGCGTTCCTTACACGGTAACCAGCGTAAACACATTAATGTGTAAAATTTCACACATTTCGTGAAAAAAGGGGCCTACTCAAAAAATGTGTAAACTGCGTTTACACATTTATGTGTAAACCAAGCAAACGTCAAAAGAAGTGTATTTTTTACACATTTTTCAAGAACGGTTTTTACAGCAAAGTGTGTAAAAAGTAACCATTTCTAGAACTTAAATATAATGGGTGCTCATGGTTTTTTATTAACTTCGGAATTTTCTTATTTGTGTCAATGGTAAAATAAAGATTGCTCGATTATTGTAGGGTAAATGTTGGCTTCGGCACCCATTGACTGTTTTCGGCAACCAAAATTTAAACGTTAATTTCACTATGTTTTCCCATCAACGCACTTCCCTGAATGTGTCCAAACGATTGTTTAGCCTTTTAGCTTCAATCTGATTATATTTGAACGATCGAGCAATCCAGTAATGCTACATTTTTCTTCAAATAAAGCATACGCACTACAAAATGGGGTTGATTTCGAGTTGCCGATAATAGAACAGCTGGTTAACACGCAGTTCTAATGGGAAGGTTGCCGAAGAAAAAGAGGCTGCCGACAATAGTCACACTCACCTGAGAAGTTTGGAGCGTTGTAAAAACGCTGTCAAAACGTTTTGAAAAATGCTGTCGATTGGAATGGATAGAGAAGCAAGCAGCAGATGAATGTAAACAAACAGACACATCATATATGTGCGTGACGCTGAGAAAATGCTAGTAGAAGTGCAGACGCTGCTTAGATTGACGAGAATACGTAAATTCCCCTATATATTTTATTAAAAACAGAAATATAATCAACAAAAATAAGTAGCGGCACCGGAGGTGTTGGTAAGCGTGATTTCCTCTCAATCCCAGTCGACGCTGCCGGGATGTTCTGAGGCATAACATCTCTGATCGCGCCGAGGATCACGCCTTCCTTCGGAAGGGAAGTGAAGCCATTGGTCTCCGGTTCATGAGTTGATGGGTCGAAAGGTAGGGTCCAGGTATGGGAGATTCCTCCCTGGCGTCTGGTAGCATTGATGCTCAGCACGGGAAACAAATCAAGGGAAGAAAAACAAAAATCAGTATATGAAGTAGGTATATAAACTAAACTAAAACTAAAAGCTATGAAAAAAGTACAAATCACCTACCCTCTAGCATGTCCATCGTTGTGCACTGTCCAGTTTGGACCGTAGTTCCTCAATGTTCCTGCTGTTCTTCACTGAAATTTAGCAAATGGCGTGCGTCAACAAAGTAGGATGCAGCAAAGTTTGAAGTTTTTTTTTACCCATTAATGAGTATAAAAATACACATTTTTTGACTGGTACTACATTCGTAAAATGTGTATTTTTTTTACACATTTTATACCCCGTTCACATTACAGCGTATATCACGTGATATACGCTGTCTTGCAATGAGCACTCATACATAGGATTTGCAGTGAAAACTAGATATATGAGTGCTCATTGCAAGACAGCGTATATCACGTGATATACGCTGTAATGTGAACGGGGTATTAGGATTTCCAAATTTACACATTTTTTGACAGCTGCATATAAATATAAAAAATGTGTATTTTTTTACTCATTTATGTGTTTACGCTGGTAACCGTGTAGAGAAAAAGGCTATAGAAAGAAGGTCGTTGCTTAGGTTGCCGAGAATACGTAAATTTCCCTATTACATACTAAATACGCACAGGGCATCGTCTGCTGACCATTGCCGCGGTTATATCGTGGGAGTCCCAGGTACCCGGTTCGAGCTTTAGTTGGCGGCGGAGGCTCTTCTTGACCTTCTACCCCCTGAGTAGTTAGTGTGAATAAGGGCGTCTATGTGATGTTTTGCTGTACCTGTTGTGGACATCTAGTGCAACCTGTTCCCTTAACTTGTTGAGGATATCCTGTGTTGCCTCAAAAGTTACCCTTTTTGAAGTACTAGTCTTCACAACATAAAGGGCACCATTACGGAGCATGAGATTTGATCAAATTATTCGCAGTTTTACTTGTCCAACGCCCCCGGCTGGGTGAGGGATAGAGGATGACACACACACACAGACACACACACACACACACACACACTCACACACACACACACACACACACAGGGCTACAAATGGTGAGTTGACAACCTAGCTCTGGTTCTCACAAGTTCCTACCTCACGCCTCCCCGTGGTGTAGCCTGGGCAATGTTGTCCTTCTGACAATAGCAAAGTGAGGGGGTGCGACGCGAACACTGGCGCGGTAACCATAACACGGCGATAGAGGAAATGCTTCGTCAACCCGCAGGAGTGCCAACCGGCACATTAGGATCGACGCCAGTAAGATCCTTATTACGGCATACTGGATACGGCATGGAACTATGGACACGACACGGCACAATGGATTGGATACCACGCTACAGGGCTGACAGTCGTGCTATTCTGCTCCCTAAGTAAAGAAGGGTGACACCTTCT